AAATATGTTGTAAAGCAAAGTGAGAGCTTCATGTTTGTTTAACCATTTTCAATATTCATAGAAAAGATAAGTCAAGCAAGCCTTCCAAAAAAGTATTGTAAAATAATATAAAAAAATTTTTCATCAATTGTGTAACAATTTTGTGACGTATCAACAGTTTCTCCTGTTGATTTTTATTGGTTAATTGCCGGGTTCCAGATTATAAATTTTAAAATTAAAATTTTTTATTTTAAAAAATTATTTTATTTTAAAAATAAAATTCCGGGTGGGCGGATCAAAAAAATTTTTTTATGTTATGAGAAACAAAAAATTAACTTTGTATGGCCTTAAATATATATTAATATAAGAATTTTTTCATTCATCTTTTTTCGTATGTTTATATATGCCTTTCAAAGTTAATCCGATATAAAAAGCTCTTAATCTATTTTAATTCTATAAAATTTTACTTAGCAATTTCGACCAATCACGAAAACTTCACCTATGCTACGTATAAAATTTATAAAAGTTTATAAGGACAATAATTCCCTTGTACAGCGTACAAATTTTAAAAATTTAAAAAGCATGGTTTCTGCTAGTTTTCCGGAGCGAAGCGGAGGACTCGTATTTCTGTGCGCTTTTATAATTTTGTCAAAGACGTAGTTTCAGCATTTTCCATCTGTAACGTCCCGTATATAAAAATTTTGGGCTTCGGGTTTCCTAAAATATCCGTTTTAAATTTTTATACTAGATACTGTAATTTTTGGATTTTTTTACAGGGCAATCACCAAAATTCCTGGTCGGAATGTATCGGTTAGGGTTAGGGTTGACTATACTGGTTAGCAGGAACCAGGCCTACCGAATAATTGATTGTAGGGGCAATTAATTGCAATCATAATTAGTCAATTTTACGTAATTAGATAATATCGTATATTCACCAATACGATCTGGTTTTGATTTTTCGCTGTTTAAAAGATCAGGTTACACCAGTGAAAGAAAATTGATAATTTTAATTGATTTTAATTGTATGATGTATAGCAAAAATTAATTTAAATTAATTTTTCGGCAGGCCTGGCAGGAACTATAGTCGTTAGTAAAATATCTAATTTTTAGTAATTGCTGACTCGGGGTAGCCAATGATTTAACTGTCCTTGCTAACCCCGCTTAGCGAATCCAAATTAGGAATTTTCGAATGTAAATAAAAGACGCGACTTAAAAAAAAAAAGATTCCTAGTTACAATAGATATATTTCTCATTACTACAAACAATAGCAATAATATGGCGCCAGCTCAAAAGAAAAATAAGTCTTTATTTCATACTTTTATATCGGAGGCAGGGTTAAAGTTGGAAAGCCATGTTGAGGGTGTACACGAATTAAGTATATATCAGTTACCATTCAAGCTACTATGCCTAGTGAAATTGGACAAACTTTTGTACATGGGTGTTACCTTTGTTTTTTGTAACTAAACCATTTCATTCTGTCTTTTAAACAGCGGTTGAACCATCGATATTTCGTTTCAATCTTATTCAAAAAATTAAGAGTCATCCACAATATCCTGATAAAGTAATCGATTTGTTTCTTAATGCATTGCAAGAATATTTGTCTTTAGACGATGAAAAATTTAAAGCATGCCTGCAACCACCCTCTGTGAATGGAAAATCAATATAGTAAATTAAAATAATTGATATTTTGAATTTTTTATATAATTATGATGACATATTAGAACAGGATAATAATTTCTTTTAAATTTCTTATAGTGACTCTACATCCGATAGTTTGATTCGTATTCTATTGAGCATTGATTTTTTTCAAACAACATTAATCGATCAGTTATTAGAAAGATTGCCAACGTTCATTTCAGAGTCTGATCACGATATTATTGAATCACCCATCCCACAATTGATTTTAAAGCAGCTGAAATGGTTAGATAACGTCGTAAATCCCCCACAATTAACGGAAAAAATTTTAGAGGCATGTTTTATTTTGAATGTTCAATTTTCAAAAATATCCAGGATGCATTTTATCAACAATATTTTTAAAGCTTTGTTTTTGTATTTGCATAAAGATGATCCCAATTACACCACTAGGCATCCAAAAGGAAATAATCACAAGCCTTCCTGACATTATAATTGATTCTGAACAAAAGGTTCATAATATATTGATTCTTTCGTTAAGCATATATGATATTTGAATATAATTCTTATAATCAAATTTTACACTTTAGGCTGTCATTAAGGAATTGATAAAGTTGATTGATAATGACTATCGATTAATTGTTCCAATTCTTGATGCGCTACCTCATTTCACGCTTGAAGATGATCTAATGTGTAATGTTCAGAAAACAGTTTTCGATCGACTTGAATCCGCGGACTTGGATGATTTGGCAGTTGTCGTAAAGTTCTTATTGCAAACATCCTCCCCAGATGATGCATACAATGTAATTTCATGTGAAATAACTTATAACGATAATTGTCTTCAAATTTTTCACAATACAAAGTTGTTTTGCAGGTAGTGCAGCAGATCAGGGAAAAAGTTGATTTTCATTCAATAGGCGAGCTACAAAGTGAAGCATTGAATTCGAAGAAACACCAAAAGAGAAAAAAAGAACAAATTCCGGAAGCTTTGATACTAGATTCGATTAAATTGGGTATCGATATACATAAGTTTGTTAAGGATGCATGGTTAAAAGAAATTAGTGATGTTAATTTAACGGTATTGTTTTCATAGTTGTCGATTTGATAATTTGAATATTCTTTAATGTCTAATCTTTAATTATACACTAACAGAACGATCATAAAATAATTGATATATTAATTTTATTGATTTTGCACTCTATTCCAAGTACAAAGAAAAAAGTCGAAACAATTTTTCATAAAAAGATTATGAGTGGATTGTTTACACCAGATCTTTTAGAAAACACAATAAAATATCACTTTGAAGGTTTACGAGAATACTTTAGTGATATCCTTTTATTGTCAGAATGTCTTCTTCGGTCAAGTCAGCAACAAACTACTGTGTCACGTGCTGCATGTACTTTGTACCGCAGTGCATTCTTAGTATTCGAGCCATATCAACAGCAAGAGATTGTAGCGTCGTTAGTGACACATATCGGATGTGGGTCGCCTATTGAAATTGAATCGGCACTTTCAGTATTATCACATTTAGTTAGGATAGATATAAAGAAGATGAGTCGCTTTGCAATTTTTGTAAAAGGACTTTTAGACTACTTGGATAATCTTAATATAGATCAAATTAGAATTCTGTTTGATGTAATTAGCAAATTAGTTTATGAGGTGAGGTTTCATGGACGGCGACCATGTTTAATGATATCAATACTAACAAAATTCGTTAATCCAATTTAACTTAAACACTTTGAAAATATAAGGATGCAAACTATGATGGCTCAAATGGCGGCTTGCTCGCTGAGTTCTCAATTGTCATTCAAAAGCAGTTGTCTAATCCTAACGAGAAATATAAACAAATAGGTGTTATAGGTGCACTTGCTCTGGTGCAAACACTGGGTTCTACGCAGAATACAGGAAATCCTAACCATGAAAGTATGTTTCATAATATTGATTCACAATTTTATGATTAGCCTTATCGCTAAATAATATTTCTCCGTTTATAGAAATGATAAATACTGCTATAGAAAGCTTTTCAAAGATTGAACGTTATTGTGCGCGATCAATGGTATATTTAATTTATGATGAAAAAATTCGTATTGTTTTTTTTTTTTTTTAATCAATCATAAATTGTTTTTATCAACTTCATAGACATGCCTTGCATTTGCATATGATGAACTTGCGTGGTTCATATCTAATGGAATGTTGGAGCGTAGTTTGGTTGATTGGATTTATGATAAGGTTGAGAACATGTTTTCAGATACTTACATCATAGATAACGATGATTTAGCCAGTTTAAGAGAAGATCATTACTATTTGAAAGGAATGCCAATAGAAATTTGGTTTGGAGTAGAAAGTGATGTAAGAATAAACTTGATCATTCAAATTAATTGCAAAGTTACAGAACAACCTTATTAAAATACACGCTTTATATTAGGCTGATGATTCACTAAAGTTTAATGTTTACCCTATGTTGTGCGAGCCTCATGTTTCGCAAGAATTACGTATGCAACATTTGTTCAAACGAGACCATATAATATGTTGTTGTTCGATGTTGAGATTAGTACAGGCTTGTCTAAAAATAAAAGGAGGAAGCTTGACAGAAATTGGTGCTTTATTAAGCACAGGACTGCTCATGTACGAAAAAGTTGACATCGATGTATGAAATTAATTTATTATACGTGATTATTTCGAATGAACTTATGTCAATAGATTATTAATGATGTTTCCTTCATTAATAGCATATGAAGTCGGATGATTACTCTAAATTAATGCGTGAAACGGCTTGCGATGCGTTATTTTATTCAATCAATTGGTGAATAATTTATTAAGAGATGTTTGTTTAGATGTTTAACTCATAGTAAATTTTTAATTGTTTTTATTCTATTGTAGGTGTCGAGAACTCGTTAACGACTTTTGGGGCTCTGATGTTGATAATCGAAGTAAGTGTTAAACCGTCTTGTATTACAAAAAAATTTTAGAAATTTGTTCAATATTATTTCATTTTACAGAAAATGTCATTGCAAAATTACGAAGTGTTATCGAGCTTGAAAAGCAATTAAATGATTTATTGGAAATAACGCCCTCTTTCCAACCCTTTGGATTCGCAGCTCCTACCCCAGCTAAAAACGCAAAGTCAAATGCTGTATCTATTGTAGTTGGGTCAATGCCAAAAAATCATGTCAAAACTGGAGCAACAGTTCGACGTTCTGGCATCAGTAAAAGCAAGATTATAAGTGCACGTAGGTCTGAAGTAGAAAAAGATGATGAACAAAACAAGAGCACCAGTGATTCCAGTAATTGTAATCCTAAATTTGCTTCAGTTTCTGATTTAAAGCCATTAATGCGTGAGTTGACTTTGTCAGTGTTTGGCATGCTTAAATATGGAAATATTAAAAAGCCTACGAATGATAGTGAATCTACTAAGATGGCTGATGATGCAGATGAAGCTCAATTGAGTCCTGCGGAGATAGTTTACCTTCTTGAAGATCTTAAACGCAAGCTTGATTTCAAACTCTCACCACCAGCATCGAATGTTCCTTTTTTTGCAAAGAAATCGAAAAAGGCAGAACTTGGAAACAATTCGGATGGATTTGCCTTGATTACTCGTCAGGCATCTCTAGACATTGTTAAGCAAGTTTCTCTTGACTATGTTCCGCATTTATTGCGGCAACTATATTTAACATGTGAAGAACTGAATCCTACAGATGATGAATTAATTGATGATGATGTAGAAGACGTATTGCAGCGTTGCCTACAATTAATACTTGAAATTATTCATAGATTGCTTTGTTGGACTGATTTGAAGAGCTTGGATAATAAAGAAACGTTAGTTATGGTATTAAAACAACTATGTCCAAAGGCATTGTCTTCAGCCCCTAGGCTTACATTGCTCCAATCTGAAATTCTCCAGCAATCGGCCAATGATGCATTCCAATATTTGCATAACTTTGCATCCCGACTTCCAACTGCAAATTTAGCAATACTGTTACATAAGATCCTTAAAACAATTGCTGAATTCGCTCCGAACTCGAGTGAACTTTTTACCAAGTCTGGAGAAGTTGCGCGAAATTTTGTATCACGTACATGGGACGATATTAATAAATTGGATTCTGAATCCATTATTTATCTAGTGCGAAATGATATTAGACATTCGTCAAACCCAATAGATAGAATAAAGTTTTATGCGATTGATATCCTTCCTTCCCTAGATTCACGGAACGATAACATTACGGAGTCATATCCATTGCTTAATAGGAATACATTCCCGCATTTTTACAAAGCATTATTTATAGAGCTCGTTGAAGTACTTCAAGAATTCAGATCAGGGAATTTTAACACTGTAGACGAAACTTTGGAACATATTTCTAGTACAGTTGAATGTTTGCAGAAGTTAGTTTCATTTATAAGGATTAATCATAAGCGTAATGTTTTATCAGTAACATTAAAATATGGGCGTAGCTCTATTGATACTTTTATTAAGCAAATGTTACCACTTATGGATAAACATTTCAATTCATATCGTGATGAGGTCTTAAACATATTTAAGACATTCCAAATGTCCACGCGGAATCTCCAAGCAAGTTACTTTTTATCTTATTAGAACTTTCAAAGTTTTTGTTATTGAATCATCATTCATTTTTTTCTAAATGATAATATTGTAATATCTAGGCACTTTGCAATCATGTAAAAGTTAATAAAGAATCTCAGTTATCAGCAATGGTACCACTTGTAAAAAAGTCATTAGAGATTGTGATTTTCCAAGTTAAAGCTTTAATTCAGAATAACGGACTGCCATTATCAACTTTCTTTTTGGGTGAGCTTAAACATCGTGACATTGATGGACGTGAAGTTGAATCTGATGATCAAAGGGATGATAGATCGCAAAGAGATGATGTAAATTCAGTTTTAGATGATGATTATGATGATGATGGCGATGATAAAGATGTGGAGAATATAGAAGAGGAGGAGGAAGAAGAGGAGAATAATGACGCTGGGGATGACGACAACGAAAGTTCTATCAATGCTACAGGTATGTCAACATCAAGTAAAAAAAAAAATTGGATGTAAAGAAAACAAATTTTCATAGCTTATATTTATTTTTCGAATGAAGATGTAGAAGAATCTTATTCTTCTAAGCGCAAGCGGTTTATTCTTGACGAGGCGGAAGAGGACAATGATCTTGAAGATAGGGTTAGTAAAGTCCTTAGGTCCGGACTTTAGGATCTGGTCTTTAAAGACCAAGTCCAAATTTAAGGACCTAGGGTCCTTAGGTCTTTAAAAAGTCCTAATATACAAATTTATAATTGCATAATTCTGGACAGCCTAATCATATATATTCAATAAAGTTTTAAATGCATAGTTTAAGATCATAATCATTTATTTATTTAATGTATATAGTTCACATAATATTGTTATTACACATTCTAACGCTAATATGTAAATGCCAATATGTACATTGTGAAGGGGTAACGTGAACTAGCCGCAGCAAAAAAACGTGATCTAAGCCGGAACTAAAGTCATAATCATGTAAATGAGTATGAGTTAGTCATAGATTCCCCCGATACTCTAAATAGTCATATCGTTTAGAGATTCTAATCGTAGTAGCAAAGCCCCAAGGCTTTCTGTAATGTATAAATAACCATCGATTTTATGTATCTGAAAACAAGTGTTATAGTATGATCTTTGGTTTTCGGACCAAATCTTCCACGCCTTCTTTCGAGTAGCCTTTGATTTTTGTTGTGTCTTAGGTTGCGAGTACTAGTCATTTCAAATCCGCCCTTTTAAGGTTTTGTAGCCTTGGATCTTTTAAGTAAAGCCCAAGAGATTTAGAAAAGTAGGTTCATCCCAAATCCACCCTTTTACAACATATAGCGGACCTAGGTACTAGGACTAAGCCCTGGACTGGACCTAAGTTAACTAAAGTCCTAAAACTGGGTTTATAAGGACTTGATCCATAAGTCCATGCAGTAAACCCTATAGGTTACGAGACCAGGACTGGACCGGGCTAGACTTTACCATTCCTACTTGAAGACTCGGATAACGAGTCTACTCGTAGCAGTAGACGTCATCATCCGCTTCAACAGTACAAAAACGAGTAAATCGGTGTAAGGCCAAATAATTGGCAATATTTTATTACAGTAATTGCTCAGTGGCGGGAATCGCTGAACAATAGATCTAAATGTAAAACACTTTTAAAATCATTATCAGAATAAAATTTATAGATTGATCATTTATTTTAATAAAGTTTATGAAACTTGTTATATTGTGGAGTTTTATTGAGTTGGCACTTGTCTTATTAAAATTCTCTGAATATTGGAGTTTTTTTTTATACTCAAGCGTATAAGAATTATATATTATATTTTATATGTATTTATTCTTTAGGTTTTAAATTTTTTTTACATATGGTTGTTACTTTGCATTTGGAGTATTGATCATTTAAAATTTGGCTTATATTGCTATGCTGTGCAATTCTACCTATTCAAAATCAAAATACATTCTTGTTACGCGTTATGCATCTTTGATTAGTTACTTATCGAAAAATTAAATTACAGCTATCAAAAAAAGCCTTAATAAGTTTTAAAATTCCAAATATTTTTTAATTGTATCAATAAGATAGTTATCGAGATATTTGTAAGTTTGTGAAACTTTTAAAAATTTTTGGAGCATTAAGCGCGTTTCATACAGTGTTAGAGGAGGGATGTATCTAATTGGATCTATATTAACAGTAATTAAATTTTTTATCGTTTGCGTTTTCTCTATATATGTCATTTTGTCGTAGTATATTGTTCTGTAATTATTTAATAGAGTCAATAATTGTTTTAAAAGCATTACTTTTAACATTGCAAAAAATGATTATCCTTTAATGAACGTATAGTACTATATCGTTTGAAATTGGAAGGAATGAAAGCTAGAAAAAGATGCTTGGATAGATAATAAAATAATGATAATTTAAATAGGAGTAGCGGGAAAGAGTTTTCATAAGTTAGGGTTTGAGATATTTCCTCTTAAAATATCCATTAATCATCAAAAAATATGTATTTAAAAATTTATCTTATCTTAATGATTTAAATATATTTTCGATATTTCATTCATATGAGCTTGGTGCTGGGAAAAGGAACGATATTGACATAAAAAATTCTTCACAAAAAATTAATTATCTCGTGAACTATTGGTCAGAATTACATAATTTTGATACTATTCGATTCGTCTCGATGAGATTAATAGAATGGTACCAAAATTATATAATTCTGATCAATAGTTCACTCACTAGATAATTGATTTTTTTTTCTTTACGTCAATTTCGTTCCTTTTCTCAGCACCAAGCCCATATAACCTAATGGATCTATAGTCAAATTTGTAGCAATTTTTATAGTTTTTTTTCTAACACAGAAATTTTTTTGGCATAAGTTTGTTGACACTGAAAAAAATAAAGATCAAAAAGAGAGATTTTACTCTTTTTGCTTCAAAGTTTTTTTTTTCTTTGACAATATCATTATATGAAATATATGAAATCGAGTGAAAAGCACTATGTAAAAGCATGATCATTTATAATTAAAAGAGTAACAGTAATAACGATATATCAGATAAGTAATATAAGTGTCATGGATATAAGCAGAATTTCATTTCCGCCTAAACGCATGGGATCCAGCGTATAACTGATTTATACCCTGCGATCTTGATATAGTGACCAGGATATAAAATATAATATAATATTGATATGAGCGCGCCTAGGAAAAAAGGGACTTCAATCATATAAAAGCATGATTGAAGTTCCATTTTCCCTTGCATCACTCATATGTTATAAATCGGATATAATTTCCATTATGAGTGCTGCCAAGGGAAAAAGGTCGTTCGGGACTTTCGAGTATATTATATATAATTTATATAATATACTTGAAAGTCTCATAAATTTACTGTAATAAACAAACAGAAACGAAAGAGATTAAGATAATTAAGGATTGGAACCGTTTGCCGCATAAAAATTGTTCCGTAATTTCGGGCTAGATTATGATTAACAATTATAATGATGTAATAATAAAAAAGGTTCAAAATAAACAAGATTAGCAAAATCATATATTGCTCTAATTTAGGTGTTATCTTTTCTGGCTAGTTTAAACTTGAATTATATTAACAGAGTGGTACAAGTCACTAAAACCAAGGTCCAAAATTATATATATATAAAAACTATATTTTTTTGTGTCTGAAGTCATTTATTATCCCGTTTCACCAAACGAGCGTATTCGTAAGTGCAAGCAAAGTACCTTTCTTTGGGAAAAACTTACACTCATCAACGATTCGTATCACGTTCGTACAACATTGAAATTGTGAAATTTTCATGGTGGCAGTGTTTAAGGCTTGGATTTTATAAATCTTTCTTAAAATCAAAATATCTTCGCAAATAATATAATAACTAATCACTTACAATATAAATCAAATTATGTACCCACTGTTTCGTCACAAAATTTTCATTACTACTTTTTTAGCATTAATATTCTTTTTCATATTCTGGCCGACAAGGAAGCCGCAATGCATTACTTCTTCAATAACTAAAGGAGCTAAATCTAACTCTGAACCAGGTCCAAATATTGATGCCATGAGGTCTACAATAATAACTGATATGTCTGGAAATCAAAAAGAATATCTGAACGCCAAAGGATATATTACTTTTCTTAGTATCTTTAAAAAACAACATCAAACAATGATCAATGCTCTCATAAACAACGCTAATATTGCTGTAGCAAATACGAGTGTTTATTCTGTCACTTTAAAACCACAATTACCTCCTTCTAATGATCCACATGATTTTTTGTCATTATCAAGATATTTTTGGCCTGATCCAAGTAAACCCGATGGTTTACCTTACATTCGTAAAGATGGATTTCATAATCCTGAATTTTTTACTATTCCAGATTACATTTTATTAAGAAAGGTGTTTAGAGAAATTCGAGATATGGGATTTGCTTATTTCTTTTCAAGAAATGAAACTTATGTACAAAAATCTATGCATCGTATAAAAGAATGGTTTTTGGATGAAAATACTAAAATGAATCCAAATCTTAATTATGCTGGACTTAGAAAGGGTGAACTTATAGGCGCACATACAGGTGTTTTAGATTTTCATCAAGTTTTTAGGTAAGATAAAATAATAATAATAAAAAAATACTATAATTAAATTTAATTTTTAATATTTATTAACATATTAATAATTATTTTTATTAGAATGTTCCAAGCTATCAACTTCTTGCGACATTCACCTTTATGGAATCAAACAATTGATGTTGGATTAAGAGAATGGATGTCAGAATATTATGTTTGGTTTACCACTTCAAAGCTAGGAAGAAAAGAAAGCAAATCGCTAAATAACCATGGGACATTTTACGATGTACAGGCCATATTTTTATTGGATTTTCTTGGTCGCCATGATGAGGCAAAAGAATACACACAAACTAGTCTTAAAAATAGAATAAATGAAGGTATTCTGCCAAGTGGTGAACAACCTCATGAAACAGGTCGAGCTGCAAGTTGGTTTTATTCAATTTTTAATTTACAAGGTCTGTTCATGCTGGCAGAAAGATGTGACTATTTTGGATGTAAGATTAACGGACAGAGTGGATGGAATTATGAAGGTCCGAAAAAGCAAAGTATTCAGCGGGCTGTGGATTTCTTATTACCATTTGCTCTGAGTGGCGGTGAGGGTTGGCCAAGGCAAAATATCAAAGGATTTGAGATTAATGATTATGTAAAATTATTAGAATTATCATATATAATCTACGATGAAGAAAAATATCTTGAGGCTATTGAAGAACTAAGACCTGTGTCGAAAGCTGAACAGGCAGCAGGACTTAAACTTGTAAAATGGGAAGATAACTATCTTTGTAATTTAGCACTTATGACAAATAAAATGTTATGGGCTTGTTTGCTATAATTATTTACATGTATAAAGGCAACAAAAATAAATTTTAAAATGGAAATATGTAACTATCATGTACCCTTTCGGTTTTTTTCAAAATAAAAGGCAATTTTTGAACTCGATGTATATATATCAGAACCGTTAATACATATTTTACTAAGGTACGTGTTACAGTGTTTCGAGTGTTATTTTGATACTTTAAAAGATGCAATTTTTCCGAAAAAATCTATTTTGCGCAAAGCCTACGAGATACTCATAAAATTGCCATCGCAAGATCACAGCCAATAGTGAATTCAGGACAGAGATGAAGATGAAATTCATTCTAAATTTTTTATAATAATTTCAACATTTTAATATTTTATATAAAAACAACTATAAAACAGCTATCCTATTTGATTTATTTTAGTTTAAAATACTTAATTCGTAATCCATATAAAAAGGTATAAATTACGAAAGTATAATTTACTATGTTTTTTATATAAGAATGAAATCTCTACACTTATAAAATTTTATATAGTACAAAAATAAATATAAATATCTTCCTATCTACTAAACCAATTCTAATAATTTTTTTATATTATTAGAAAGATAAAGTATATTAACATACACTGGTCGAAAAAAGTAGATCAGAAAAATATCAGAAATATTTTGGCGCCTATCGTGACAACAACAGACATATTAGATCTGATAGAGGCTATTAGACACATATCATATCAGTTCTGATAGCTTTCTGATAGCTCTATGTCTCTGTTGTTGTCACGATGGTCGCCAAAAAATCAACAAAAATCAGAACCTGATATTTCTATGATATTTTTCTGATCTACTTTTTTTCGACTTGTGATAAAAAAAATAATTTGCTACGGAGGAAAGAAAGATTTCATAATTATAATAAATTTAATAGTAATTTGCGCCTATGAAATTCTTACTATCCTTAATTTAATAAAATTTAATTTTAATTATTGGAAAAATAATTTCAACAATTTTTTTACTAATTAACACGGGCTCCACGTAATCCGTGTTCAAATTGAACACCTATATGAACCCGATTTGTATCCTATTTGTGCTTCATATCAGGATTACGTGATGCCGATTGGAGCCCGATTTGCCTCCCCATCTATATAATTCAGACGTGAAAAATATCGATACATATGGGCGAAAACTTTTGAAGGAAATGTTGTGATTATTAAAATTGATTTATGCGGCGTCATGATCAGCAATTTACAACTAACCAATTAAATACATTGATGATTATTATTATGCGGTTTCATAAAGGGTTTCATAAGCGGATTGCAATATCACATTAATTTTTAATAGAGGAATGATTTGCGTACATCGGTTTCGTGTAACTTCACGTACATCAATTTCTTTTAGCCAATAAAAATTGCTGCGCCTCTAAAATCCGAAAATTTCGGGTGCTAGTCCTGCAATTTCATTTGCCAAAAAAAATTGATGTACGTGAAGTTACACGAAACCGATGTACGCAAATCATTCCTCTTTTTAATATTCGAAAAATCCGCCCATATGATACCCTGATCAACCAGGGTTAAATCGCCACCCAAAAATCATGTGATTTACATCATTCACATATTCAAAAAAATCAGATATGCTTTCGCTTTTATTATTTTTTATGAAAAATTTTATTAATAAGCATCGTATAACTGATACGTAGTGCGATACATATAATACATAAATTGATAATACGGGTAGAACAAGTACGTACATATCACAAATTTATTTAAAACAATGGCTAGACGAGGAAATTTAACATGTCATTATGATATTATTGAATTATGATTCCTTGATCACACATTTCGATTGAATTTTCTTATTATTACATTAAATCATTTAATTCATGAATGCTTCGATTTTATATAGAAATCTCAAGGTGAAATTATAAGAATGGATTGTCTAATCAGATGCGTTTAAATACAGTATAACCATATTCTTCGTTACACTTTGTTCCTATATTATCTGACAATCAGTTTCTTCCTAAGTTTTAACGATGATATGAATTCTGCTTGTTTATTACCTGACTAACAATAAATAAATAAACAATCATTTGGTAATTTTATTTGCGCTTACAAGTAAAAGAGACGCTTAACTATATTTAATTAATTGATAATCGATCCATCCATGGTTCTTGATTATCAATCTTTAAACATGAATATACCTGATTAAAAGTCAAATTTGCTGAATAATTTAAAGACTATTCTATTAAACGCCGAATATTTATTTAATGAATTGATAGTTTTGAGTTTGACACTATTTATCGAAATGGGATACATATTTGGGTTTTGGTTACGAACCCAAAATAGGTAGAAATACCGATTCCCAAACCCAAACTAAGTAGAAACGCCGTAATTAAAAAAAAGAGTTTGGGTCGCAACCCTAGTGATGTGGCTTTTGTTCAAACCTAATGCCACCTAGTAAATTTGTCAAGGATGTTAAAAAGGTTAGGAATTTAATTAGGACATGTAAATTTAAGACACATAAATTAAGTGATAAAAAAATTTAAAACGTACAATATCCACAGGCGTGAGAACCTGGCTGATCCTGCGAAAGTCAAAGAAAAAAAGAGTAAGAAAAAATAAATCAACCAATAAATCAAGAAGGAGTAAAGATGTTTTACCAAATTTATGAATATTTGAGGATGACCTAGCGGACCTCCACCTAAAATTCTCGTTGATATCATATTTGATTATAAAACAAAAAAATCACATATTTGAATAATTATAAGTGTAAATACCTCCGTGGCAAACGGCAATTCTGCCCTCTACGTAGTGAATTGGTTCCTCGGCGATCAATTCAATAGCAGCTGCAGTTTTCGGCTATCGAAAAGAGTAAGTTAGTGTTGTCTGACCAAATTCAAGGTAAATATCCTGTCAGCAATGCATACCTGAACCTCAAGATCAGTTTGTTCAAAACGAGGACCAACCATAGTATAGTTGTTAGACGAAACCTTTTTTGCTTGGTGACGAACCATAGTATAATTGTTAGACGCACCCTTTTTTGCTTGGTGACGAAAGACGAAACCTAAGCCCCAAAATGACGAAACCCCTGACGAAAGACGAAACCTCAAATTCTGCTGACGAAAGACAAAACCCAAATTCCAAATGACGAAACCCTAGTGCTCCCGCTAAAAAAATCCCTTGCGCTCTCACTAAAAAAAAAAAAAACCCCGGATTGATGAATCTTTATGATAATAGTGAATCCCTAATTCTCTCGCTAAAAAATTACTACTGAAATTTTGGTTTTGATGAAGCTATCAATAAAAGATATTTAACCCGTCGATAAATCATTATATATATATTTAATACTGAAGATGTTTATTGACTTGTGCGTATATTTAGGTTTTAAAAAGCCAATTACAGAAATTATAAATAGCAAATGGGATCTTTGCTAGGAAAATCACCCTTCGAGATTTTCCGATCGGGCTAATTCGGAAAATTTTAGACTAGTGTGAGACCGGAAACGTGACCTGACCTCAGGCACGTGGATGCGTGACCCGGGAATTCCAAATTTGGGTTTGCCACCGGAATTCCAGGGATTTCCGGAATTTCCGGAATTACAAGAATTAATAAGGGTAATTCTGGGAAAACGGCGCACTCTGTATATAAAAATAGATAGAGTTAGTTATAAATAAAGGCCTTCTGGCCCTTCGAAAAGGGGAGTTACTCCGATTCACATAATAATAAAGTACCTAAGTCATATAAAAAAATGCCCTACCAACTACATACATTCTTTTATTAACCACTCGCCCAAATCTAACACGCCTTTTTCGACCCTAAAGTAACCTAGGTTTTGGTTACACAAACCTCCTTTTGATTTAGCGACAGGCTCGCCGTTTCCGGGTCTGACACCAGAATGTCAGTTCTTATTCATATGTAAACCATCTTTTTACTTTACTGATTCGACAGTTTATTTAATAAACTACCGAATAAATATAGCAAAAGGTGATTTACATATGAAGAAGAACTGGCATTCTGTTCTAAACCTTTCCGAATTAGCCCAATCGGAAATCTCGAAGGGTGATTTTCCTAGCAAAGATCCCAAATAAGCCACTAGCATTTATCTTTAATGCCGAAGATGTTTATTGACTTGACCCGGCTTGTATATTTAGGTTTTGAAAAGCCAATTGCAGAAATTTTATAATTGAAGATCTGAAAACAATGTATGTATGTACCTCTTATTAATTTTGACACTAATTTATTAATAACGATAAAAAGTCTTTTATTGATTTAGCAGGATATCGATATACAGAAATATGTGGATTAATCTTAATTGTGCTAGTTTACTTGGGCAGAGTGCTACAGAAAAGGGGGAAATCGACAAATTTTCAATTTTTTTTTTTTTACACAACTCAATTTAGAATAACATTAAGATCATTTTTTACTTAAAACATGAAAGCAGTTGTATTAATAAAATTTAGTAATATAGTTCTTTAAACTTTGTATTTTCATATGATTTATTATAAAATTTATAACATAAAAATTGATCTTCCGAAGATCTTTTGTTTTGTAGATTTCCCCCTTTTCTGTAGCACCTAGCCCACTTAATTGATAAATTACTTCTTAAGTTACTTATTAAAATTGATATAATTGCATGTTTTAAATTTTAGTCTTATATA